CAGAAATAAATATGGTTAAACCCTAGGAATAAACAAAACAACAAAAAATGTTTTTGGTCTCTATAGCTCTTTACCCACTTTTAATACGACTGTACGGCAGTGGATTTGTTTAAAACACAATTGTTCAAATCCTATTAAACTGTTGAGCCCTGAGTCTGTTTTTCAGGTCTCAGGCTCAAAAATGACATTCCCAGAACAAATGACCATATCTTCCCTTCTAAAAGGGTTAAATTAATAATCTTTTTTCTCAAAGCAAGGTTACATCTGTGAGTTGGATGTAGATGTGTCAGAATCAATATAAATGTTTCTATTTGAAAGTAAATTCAGATTGAACGCAGTAAAAAAATGTAAATTATAGTTTCTGTCCAAAAGAAAGTCATTACTTATAGTTAAAACCACCCTTGAATGATGGGATGGTAGACTAAAAGCTTTAGGAATCCAAACTACAATATATAATAAGTACCCTGTATCAAGATTGATGCAAAACAAGGGAAATTTGACCTTTTTAGAGAGATCTAGCCAAATAAAACCACTTCTGGGGTCAGAAGGCCTCCCCCTTGGTCGATGTTGATGATTGACATCTCTTTATAACCGCTAGAGCCAATGGAATCGAGGGGAGGTTCCACATACACACACGTTACCAAATAAGGAGTGAGAGTGACGCGTAGCCAAAACCAGAAGCTGCAATACTCTCCGATTTTTAGATAAAAATTGAATTATGGATTATCAATAATTTTTTCAAAGTGACAGACACATTGGATTAACCTATGGATTAACCCTCAGCAGCGTTTTCATTGTTTTAATGCCATTGAACACGACTTTTGATCAGAATAACAGCTAAGGTGAGACGATCTCCCGTGTTTGCTCCGTAATGCTACGTGTTGTGATGTCTGTGTTTGTTTCCTCTGTCGCGAGTTCAGATCGCTCAGTGATGATACTAATACCTATATTATCTGTGGAATCTCAGCTTTAATCGGATATCTTGTATGTGCAGTTACGATAAGTAATAAGGGTATATTTACCTTGAGTTCTGTGCCAAGTGCGTTAGCATATTTTCGTTCAGGGGTCATTTAGACGCTTCTTATGAGACTTGTATTTTGTTTTGGTAAAAATGGTTCGTATTGTCAGTTAGCTGAGTTTCTTCCCATTAATCTGGTATGACACATTAATAGGTTTTTAAATATTAAGAAGCCCTGAGGCACAGTTTCGTGAAAAAGAAACCCGCAGCCCCCTCCACCGGGGGCTCTCAGTTATATCAACCCAGTCTCACGGCATTTCGTGTTATAGTCACGACATTTAATCTATTGATTCGTGCTCACCAACATGATTTTCCCCTTTTTTTCGTGTCACACAGAACGATTTTTTTTTAAAAGCAATGTATTTCTATGGTATGTGAGTTTCGTGCCTGCAGCACGTCTTTTTGTCCGTTCGGGTCTTGGAGACCGGAAGCTGTGGGGTTCATACAAACATGTTCTTACTCAATATCAAGCCACGATTATTGTTTTTTATTTTAAATCGTCATAATGTCGGACTTTTTTTTGTCGTCTGTGAGGAAAGAAATGGGGCTCAGAGCCTCAAATACTGAAATCTGTATATTTTTTAAATCTTTTTTCCTTCTAATTTGTATTCTTTTCTAAATAACACACTGTTATTTACTCACCAATAACACACCAATTATCCTTGTTTTTATTTATTTGTTTAACTTCCATAATATTGGGCTTTTTTGGCCTCCGTCAGGAATGAATTTCAAAATTAAAAATAACCGGAAACAGACGTAGGCCTAGAAGGGACATTTTCGAGCATCATTGCGATACACAGCCATCTGAACTGATTACCCAAGATCCTCAGCTATGGTTTAAGCTCACTGATTGGATGTTTTAGCCGCAATGCCATGTAGGGATATGGTGTTAATGCCATATCAAATCCGAAAAATATTTCTGAGTTTAGGATGGCCGAAAACACTACACTACCCATAATCCCCCAGCTATCGTTTAGGACTACAGTCCCCGTGATTAATCTTCAAGCTCTGGAATTGGATGTTGGAGTGGCAGTGCTCCAAGGTTACGCCGAACGTCAAACAGCTGTTTGAAATGGAACGAAACCACGCCAGACTATCCAAAACTGGAATCGAACGCCCCCCCAGAACTACACATGCTGGCTATTGTGTTTCGCAAAATGTTCTATGGGACGTCTCTACTGAACGTTTTCGTTTATCCCACAATTAGAAGTTGCCAGTATTAAACACATTGGTGTTATCAAATGTAAAACATATAATTAATAAATGGGTGAAAATCGCTTGTGTCCATAATGCGCAGCATTAATATACCCACATGACAGCTCATTGTTACTTTGTAATTCTACTCCACTACAATTCAGAGGTTAACCTGGTATTTTTACTCCACTACATTTATTTGAGTTACTTTGCAGATTCTGATTAATGATGTGAAATATAAACAACCCTTAAATCAGACTTTAGTTACACCTGAGTAAAATTCAGGGAAGGTGATTGTCAAGTGCCAACAATCAGGAGAGATATTTGATAGTTGGTGCTTGAGAAGACTAAACATGTATCTGCAATTGACATGAATGGAAACGAGTAATAAAGTATATTCATTACTCGTTATTCTCTACTAATAGTTAATTAAAGACTGTATAATTGCTATTTTGCACATCCCTTTCAAGATTTCAAGATTTTGTAAGGTTTATTGACATATCATATACACAACTACGGTGTAGTTATGCAATGAATGAAAAACTTGGGTCGCAGCTGAGGTTCCTCAACAGTGCATTACAAGACATCTATCAATATGTGTGTATACCTCCACCATTAAACTGTCATATTCTGCACATTTCTTATACTATCTACATACATAAGAGTATAATTCATATGTATAATATCAGTTAAAATAAGTGCTTCAACATAGTTAACATTGCAGGAAAGCAATATATTAGACGTTAAGTACTTTGTCAGGCTTAATATTTATCTGTTGATACCCCCAAAGCTTTTTTCTTATTTAAAAGAAGACCTTAATCTAAAGTATTATTTAATGTTAAATAAAGGTTAATTCGTTTTCCTGCACTAAACTGTTTTATTGTAGAGATCACTTATAGTATCTTCTTGATTTTGCATATTCTATATTTCTATCACAGACCTTCTACTTTCCCCCTATGAAAGTATGTACTCTTAATATAACACATAACAACAATAAATCAATAACGTGCTTTAACCACTAGGCGGTGCACACAAGGTACACACAGCCATAATAACTTTGTATTATTTGTGTAGGACACTTATGTATGTACAACATCTGAAGATGTGTAGTTTTATTCATGCTTTCACATAATTTTACAGCATATTGCTATATTATTTCAGACTCAGTATTTACATTCTTATATTCAAAGAAAATCAGTAATATCTTTAAAAACTACAAGTCCTATCAGCTGTGCACCGTTATGGTGTAAATATAAACTATCTATGAATTAGATCAAATGTAAAAGTCAGCCGAATTAGTGTTGATACTGCAAGGAGACGTATTGTGTGAAGAGAAATTTAAGATGTTGTTTAATTGTTGATATATTTATGATCCACGTCAAGTATTCAGTTTCGGTGGCATTTCTTCCAGTTTTTCCAAAGGTCTTCTCATCAGGGCTCTATAAATAAAGAACTACGGCAGATCTGTAATATGTAATGCAGCCGAACCGTGTATTACAATGCCGCTATGTGATGACTTTCAAAGAGAAAAAACGCTGCGTATGACTTCCAATGGTTCCAAGGCCTTAGCAACATTGGTTCCTATCAACAGTCCAATCCCTGCATTTATTTCAGGCAAATTCACGTTTTTCAGATGAGGCCATCTCTGTAGGTCCGCTTGTCTAGTAATGTTCCCACTGTGGACAGGCATGCACTCTTGGGTGTAGGTTTGTGGCAGTTCACAGAAATTGTCATTTGTTAAGCCAGCCATTTCTAGTCCGAACACAATATGGCTATTTACGACCCTTTCTTGGCCCATGGTTCGTAAAAGAATCTGCGCCTTCTTTCCAGTTAGGCCGAGCTCGTGCATCAGATCCTCTGTACAAAACACTGCTGTACTTCCTGGGTCCAAGAAAGCATAGGTGGTGACAATCTTGCTGCCTTTCGTTGACTTGACTTGCACTGGAACTATGGGAAGTTTACAGTTGTCATCACCAGCCCCTGTAAGGCCACTTGAAACCAGTGCGCTGTCCACCGATAGCTCCGATGTATTCTTGGCTTGAGCAGGATTGTGTCTTGCTTCATTGGAAGGGATGTGAAGTATGGTTGGATGTTTGAAGCCACATTTTGAACAGGAAATTCGCTTATTGCAATTTCTGCTAATGTGCCCCACGCACAAACAGCCGAAATATACACCTTTCTCCATCAAGAAGCCTATCTTCTTTGTGTGTTCCTTTTTCAAACTGATGGCACGAGTCCAAGGTGTGACCTCCTCCGCAGCGCAGACATGTCCTCCATTTTGTCAGAATGTGTTCCTTCCATTCAGTATCTGTCTGGGTTTCATTTTCTACAGGGGCTACAGTGGTGGCAAAGCTAGTTCCTCTTAAACTTGAGCGAGGCTGTGATCTGTTTAAACCAGTATTTTGTGTTATGAAGGGAGCATCTTGAATGTTTCCAAACACACTGCAAAAATCATCCATCTTATAACAAGAAAAAAAATATGTGATTTGAGTTTATACAGACTTGAAACAAGTGTAATAATCTGCCAGTGCAGTGAGATAATTAGACTTATTAAGAATTCTTAAAATAAGAATAATAATTCTTGAAATAAGAATTCTTAAAATAAGAATAATAATTCTTGAAATAAGAATAATAATTCTTGAAATAAGAATTCTTAAAATAAGAATAATAATTCTGGAAATAAGAAATATATGGATGCTAGAAAAGTGGCAAATGTCCTGAAGTAAGCAGAAAAACACTTATTCCATCCACAGGTATAAGCCAAATATACTCAAAACAAGTTGTCAAATTTTCTTTTACCATTTGTTTATTTCTGAATTCAAGTAGACAGATCTCAAAACAAGAACCTAGCATGCATTTTACAAAACGTATGAATTAATCATGACGATAATTTTAAACTTAAATTATAACATTGAAAACCACTCAACATTACTTTGTGTTAGATAACCAAAAATGAAGAATTATAACTTAAGAGCTTCAATATTATTGTTTTCTCTTATTGTTGAACAAAAATTCTCAAACACTGAATGATAGAAAGTCATGTCTCTTGTGTCCAAAGTATCAATGCAAAAACAGATACTGGTACCAGTATCAATTGTTAACAATAACTAGCCCAACTACCACCTAGCTCACCCACATTGTATATGTCTAAGCGAGCATGAGTTGTGCCCAGCAAATGGGCACGACTCAATATATAGACCTAAAAATGACTGGCTTTTTAATTACATTACAAAGAGCAAAGTTGCAATTTTCAGCTGATCATTTGTAAAGTGCAATGATCAAATTTGTATTGCTAGTTGCACCTTAAAAACAAAAGGTGGAAAACCTGCTGGCTGAATGTGGGCAATGCCCACAGAGAGGTGGCTATGGCAAGTGACCCTTACTTTGAAGGTGCAGCTACCTGCAGTTTGAGGAAAGGAGGGCTGGAAGGAAATGATGGGCTGACTATTGCATTTTTGTTTTTGTACATGAGTTGTTTTCTGGGATGTTATTCTCTCCCATAGACATTGCGGGTGAGCATTGTAGAAACAGGTTGGGAACCTAACTACCACCAAGATCTACTCCCCAATAAAAGCTTTCCACTCAGCCATGGCTTTTTTGTATGAGGCTGTGGCGTCTCGGTCATGGATAGTATCCTTCAATATTTCTGTTTGAATAACAGAAAGGATGGTTGCAACACACTTCGGATAAGTGAGATGTATTGTGTAGTAATAGGCCATTAGATATAGCAAACCCTCATGCAGGTCTTGCTTGGCAAATGTAGTGATGGGAGTGGTTCCTATGGCGACAAGGCAGTTGGAGTCATCAACAAGTAAGATGGGGCTGGACAGAGATCTCTTCTGGAGGTAGACGGTGGGATCTTCTGTAGGCTAAAGGAGATAGCAAAACTCTGATAAACATCCATAACATAGAACTACTAAAGCAGACCCTCAACTACCATTATGTATATATTGCATCTATGATTGAAGTTATAATGCTTTGCATGTAGTATGTGAATCCAAAGACAGCACCATTTGATGTACTAATGAAAATACAAAAACATGTCTTCCAATAAAATAATGAAAACAAATTGCTTAACCTCCTGCTGAAAGCTGGCTTACATGACCAGCAGTAAAACAGCTCTGCACTGATGTGCCGATTTCTTCCAATGGAGGGAACGGTGCCAACAAGCTCCAAATTGCCACAGTGCTTACGCTTAAAGTTAAATTATTTCAACTTTACTATCAATTGCCGCTGAGAGAATGTCCTTTCATGACAAGGCAGCTTAAAAAACAGCAACATATCTTATTAAATGTTGTCCTAATTGTGAAAAGCGACCCCATTATAGACTTACAAAAAGGATAAAGCATGGAAGTAAATGGCTTTATAGACACAAGTAAAAAAAACATCAAGATTTGAATGTGACACAATAGCTCACCTGAAGAACATGTATCAATGCCTCACTGGCATGTCCCAATTTCTTAGGCGGTGCAGCTGGTGAAGGAAAGAGTGTAGGGAGTGCCTTGAACAAGGCAATCGAGAATTCCACTATGAGAAGAGAGAAGAGAAAGCGAACAGGTGGATGGAAAGACAGACACTGTATTAACTGTTTTAGCTCACACAATCTGTATTAACATAACTACAGTTTAGACACATGAAACAAAGGATAATGCATATAAATATATAACTGACTTAAGGTCAAAGTTATTCAAGTTTAGGAGACATGCACTGTGAGGTTAATTTTAGGGTGCATCAGGTGACATGCTCCCTGGAGGTAGCCGATGTCTGTTGTTTAGTTGGTTGGTGTTGTGACTTAGTAAGCTACTGCTGCAGAGGTTGCATCAGACGCCATTAATGACGCACAGATTTGAAGTCCGTCCGTCATTCCGCCAATAACTGTTTCAGGAATGCGATGTCATCTGGGCCAACCCAGTTGGATTTCTCCTAATTCCTTAGTGAAAGTTGATCTCAGCAAGTTGTGAATAGGTTTTAAAATACAACTTTTAGCTAGGAACTTAAAGTGTGATAGAGGATCCTACTTTTGGTAAGATAACAAAATAGTGTGAAATGCCCCCAGAGCATTATTATTTTAGATTTATTTGGTCAGCCTTGCATCAATGACACACTCCTATTCAGTCATATCTTCACCAACACATTGTAGACACTAAGAGGTGACTTACCACGATCCAGGGTCATAGGTGGTTTCATCGCTTTCTTCAAAACTCCGTAAAACTGCACTTTAGCAACAAAGTCGTCCCATCTCTTCTTACTTGTGCTATGTATTTGTGGTTGTCTTTATCAGGATGCGACGACAGCTCAGACATCACTACAGAGTGAAATAAGTATTAAAATCTGGAACTTTTGTTGAAAAGTAAAAATGGGAAGTCGTTTACTAACATTCTGAAGATCCTTGAAGCATGGATAGGCATCCAGGACCTTTGTGTGCCTGTCCTCCACTTTCAGGACATCACTGTCAATGAACAGTCTTCTTGCTTCAAACTCGAGATCAAGGAGTTGAGAGACAGCATCTTTGTTTTGTTTTTTTTATCTTGTACCTCCTCATGCAGAGTCTTAAAATGCCTGGCCTGTGCTTGCAGACTATCTTGTCCACTAAATGAAAATGAAAATGATTATGTGCACATAAGACTGTCAAAAATGGTCTCCCTTTAGAAGCAGCCCTCTTATGGCTGGGTGATGTCTTTAAAAATATTCAAACACACAAGTAGAAAAGTTTGGAAGACTCAGGACTTACCCTCTTCTTCCTCCCCGGGCTCTGGGTCCTCTGCTGGGTAAAGTGTACCGTGGAGGGCCTTTACCAGCTGCTTTTTGGCTCCCTGGTGTGAATTGGGAGAACGGATGACCATACTGGATCGCTGGTCCGCGGTTGTAATTGGGCAGCCTGCGGCCCGAGCGGGCCTACTGTGGAAGCTAATGAAGATATTTTAGATATTTATTTGTCCTTTCAAAAATGGCATTTTGTGCCTTACCACAATTGTCAAACAATAATCAGAAAACGACAAGGAACATGCTCACATAACTATATATAGCTGCCTTAAAGGTTAAAATGTCTCTACAAAATGAATGACAGAAAATGACCATAATATCTCTGTCCATTACAAACAACTTTTATGCTGCACATGATGTTATGCATTCAGCAATGTGTGGATATGCCTTTCGAGTAGAGAACCATATAAATGGAAATTAAGTTGCAATTCTACTTACCATGTACTTTCATTTTCATCAGAACTGCTAAGAGTCTGATCCAAAATAATTGTTGATCACACCTGCGTCACTTGAGTCAGCATCATAATCTTTCCTGAGATCACTTGCTGACAGAAGTTCAAGGCAACGCCTCTTTCCTTTGGACGGCCCCTCTCTGTGCAGGCCCTGCCGCTGTTGTCGGAGGACTTTACGTTTAGAAGGCCTCTTTTTAAGTTGTATTGTGAATGGTTGTTCTGTGGCAAATAACCCCCCCCAAAGAAACTTTATCAAGAATTACTTAGTTTCACTAGGACTTCACAATCAACAAGTGCAAGAAATAAACAGCCACCACATTTAATGACTACAATGTTTCACAGCTTCATCTTTGTCTTGTAACATGGTATAATACTCCACTACTTTCTTTAGCCATGGCTGTGAGTTCAGGGTTGGAAGGGTATGTGAAGCTCTTCTCCTTGTGGACTTGCTCTCAGGATTGAAATCATGCTGGTGAGTGTGTTCCTCACTAGGCCTGCAACTCAACTCCTTGGACATTACACATTCCTCTCTCTGCCTGTGCGGGCCATCTCAAAGTAATGTCTACGAGCTGTTCCAACTCACTGTCCGTGTAGATCACATACTCTGGTGGACTAGGTAGCTGTAGGGTCAACTTTGGGCGTTTTTTTCTCCAAAGGAGTGGATGTTGGAGGGAGACTATGTTTTCTACAAGGTGGAGTTCCTGTTTCAGAAGGGCCATCTTTATCTTTTAAGATAGGATTCTCGTCCTACAACAGCAGATAATGTCAAACAGTCAAAGTCAACAATGGCGACAATCTGAAATAACATGTCTTGTGCAACTTTGTTTTTAGACCAAAGTAGGTAACCATTTACCTCTGGGCTGATGAAAGACCACACTCTTTTTCTCCTAAGAAATGTTCTGGCCCAGGAAAAAAGGTCTCTCAAATCATCACGAGTGAATCAACACCTCATTGATGTTAGCAGCTATTAGGACAGTAGCCATCATTACCAACATTTTACAATCCCCAAATAATTATTATCGTTTTGCTGATTCAAACACACATGACATACCCTTAAAAATTGACACTGTAACATCATCCAGTGTATCCATTGTCCCATCTATAACCTGGTAGGAAGAAAAAATATTAATTAATTATCATAATTTGATTTCAAACAGCTTTACAAACATGTGATTGAATAGTACAGTTAATACAATCATTCCTTGTGGTTTAAGCTCTTAAATGCTTTTCATTTTATGTTTTTATCTGCTACAGAGGCTGACAAATAATGGTTTTAGTCAGTGTGTGAAATACCCGTCAATATTCGGGGGGGTCCCATCTCCCGATTGTTGTGCAACACTGACATAGGAGGTTGCATTGGCTAAAGTTGTTTGGATGCACGTTGTTTTATATTACAGGGTTTCTCAACGGGGGCGTCAGCGCCCCGTGGGGGGCGTTCGTAGAACCTAGGGGGGCGCTGGGAACGAACACGGGGCGTCACAACTTCGCTTGTGTAGTGGTCATTATTTTGAACTTTTTAAACTTTCATGGTTTTCAAATATTTTCGGTGCAAAAATAGGATAACTGAAATAAAAAGCCTATCTTCATATGGGTTTCTTACACTTCTATCGTCTCATCTACTTTCTACTTTATGCTCAGTACCGTCATGATCGCTATAGTAACGCCGATAAACAAATCCACCTCATCTCAGTAGAGTGGTCCTTTCCGAAACTATTTCGCCCTCCCCTGACTTCCACTGGTTGGTTTGCGGGACATGCAAAGCAAGCGGTGGATGGGGCATTACACTAAGCAACATGAATCTCATTCATATTACATAGTAAGGCAACACAAGACGTGAATAAAGCTAACTCTGCTTAGCATGCTAATTGTAAACAATAGAACGTGCGCATTACATGTAGACCACTGCAAAGTCGCTCATTACGTCTGCGAACCGATAAACTTACTTTCATAAGGTACGCACACCAACCGGCACATACGCATTTAACACTGATGTTACAGGCGCTTAACTTGTTATAGTAACAAACTACTTTAATTACTATTTGGCCGCGAACTTAAACGTGCTACTCTCCAACTCAGAACGAAGGGACCCCGTATTTCGCACACTGGTTTTAGTGAATACTGACAAAACAGCTATCTTTCCCTTGCTGTATCTCAATTTGCATATTTCTGTACTAACATTTACTGTTTTGAGTGTATAAATGTGTTCCAATCTGAAGCATGAAATATTTGTGTGCACTATAGGCCTACCGGTAGTACCCGCATGGTTCATATAACGGTCAAATAGTTCAGTGTGAAACGCTGAACACTTTCCACTCTTAGTTACCATTTTGACTGCGTAATAGAAGTTGTGGGACCGGTGAACACATCACGATACAAATAAAAGTTATACATGTCGTTTTTAATTCATTATTTAATAAACGTACCACTATACTGGTGTAGAAAAGAAATAACTGACAATTTTAGTGGATTCATTCAGCAGTCTGTAATGATTTGCTAACCCGAACGACAACGTTAGCATCGCCGCTAGCTAGCTAGCTAACAGCGCTAGCCCACTAGTAGCGCTAGCTAGCTAGCAAACAGACATAATATTCATTGTATTTTTAACCCAGCAATATTGGTAACGTGACAAATTAATGCGCTTTTATTATAATATGAATACACACCTTCTCTCCAATGTGTGACCTTCTTCTCTTCTCTTCTTTCTAACCTCGTGAACTGGCTACTTGACAATGATACAGTAGTGGGTTGAACTCCTCCTTCGACAAATAATAATCTGGGTAAATAGGGATGATCAAATTAAGCATTTGAGGGGAAAAGGTGACGATAGTGTTTTGTAATTGCTAATACATATGCTTTTTGTATTTTTAATATCGCAGCACATACTAAAAAGGATATATCAGAGACCCTACCCCCCCATTGTTAATATGGTTTGACCCAACCAACGTGCAAAAGCCCGCCAGGAAGTATTGCAGAACTAGGAGATATTACAGTACTGGCGCGGGCTGTGGTTCAACTTTGCCTTTAGCAGATGTTTTGTCTGTCACATCAATCTGTCAGCTTCCATCTCCTCCTCAGTTCAGAAGGTTTTGAGGAACATGGCGTATTGGCGGTGTGTGATTTGCTTTGTTTTTTTTTGCGTTAACATTGAAGTCTCTGCTGAGCCATATTAACAAGGCACATGGGCCGCAGTCCAGATTTCCGTGTTGTATGTGGAATTAATGGATGTACCGAAGAATACAGAGTTTTCAACTCGTTCTATACCACATCAGACGTAGACATGCTCTGTATTTTGAAAATGGAAGCCCGCCTTCTGGGTTGATGACAACTGCACCCGAACCATCTAGAGTTGGACTTGAAGATTTTGATATGCCCATTTTTCTGGTTGTGCCACTGCGACACGAGGGATGCAAAGGACCAACAGTCAAGTCAGCACATGTGTCCCTTCACAGCAGGAGCAACAGCTTGAGGAATTCCCGATTCAACCTCCTGATCAGGTAAGATGCAGTGTTGGGTAAGCTACTTTGAAAATGTAGTGAGCTAAGCTACCAGTTACTCCAGCTACCAGTGTAGCTTCACTACACAGAAGCTACCAACCAGTCAAATGTAGCAAGCTAAGTTACACAAACACCGCAAAAGTAGTTCACTACATGTGAAGCTACTTTAATGGTGCCTTCACGTGCTATGGGAAGGATGATCCTTTTCATTTGTGAATTGGTAATTACGAGTGCGTTGTGTTCACGTGCTTTTGTTGTCGTAGTGAAATAACCCTAATTTGTGTATGTCATAAAGGGGGGTTTTATATGGGTTTCTTTATTTTTACTCTGGAAATCTTTTAATCTGGACTTTGCTATATAAATACTAATTATTAGTATTATTACTACACTAGTTGGCTACTTATCTCTACTTTATGCTGTCCAATGAAAACTTAAGCAGTAAAACAATGATTGATTGATGATTTGATCTTCCTCTTGCCTCTCAAAAATAGAGGAGGAGCAACCTCCTCTGCCTCTATGGAGCAGCCGCCACTGGTTGAAATAGCAATTTTCACTAGCCAGAACACAGGACCTTCTTCCTGTAATTATTTTCACAGACACTATTTAAAGAAGACATATTGGACAGGGGCTGCTGGTTTAAAAGCCATATCTTACATGATAACATTACTCAAACATACAACACTTGAGTTAACTAGTCTTTCTTCTAATTGTGTAATATTACTATGAATCTGTCTCCAGGAAGAAGCTGATACATCTGGCGGAAATCTTTCCAGACGTGCAGTTGCATTTGCCATCAATGTCCGTGAAAAATGCCACCTGTCCCAGGTATTGCATCTATTAGTTGCTTTGTACAAAAGTGTCTGCCAGTGACATAATGAATGTAAGTGTGCATGTAGTCAAAGGGGTTGAAGAGTGGTGATAATCTTTGTATGTCATTTTCTACCTTGTGTTCACACATGGGGGCACTTTAGTTATGTTAGTTAGCTATGGACACTCGGACTGTAAATGCATACTCTGATGTATTTAATTTTTTTAATTTTCTCTTTCAGAGGAGTGTCAACGATATTGTCTCTGGGGTCCAACAGTATCAAGCGGCTCTTCTGGATACCTTGAGAGACAAAATGAAGAGGGTCT